GGACTGTAGCCTTCTTTAAGTAACATTTCCAAGCATTCTTTATTTCCACCATATATTGCTGAATACACGGGGCTCACTTTGTTTTTTTCTTTGTCACAAATCCGATTGGTAATTGGTATCAGCAACTCTAATATACTGCAAGGATTTTAAAACAATATTTATTTGTGTGATCTTACACAATGATGAAGCTTCATACTTACACTTATTTTTTTAAATCATCGTTCCAACTCCAGAAGAAAACCCCACCTGTTTCTTCATTACTCTTTAGTTTGCTTTAAAGAAGAACCACGATTACAGACACAGACCAACAGCAGTGTGCTTCAGCATGCTGACAATGGGCTGAAGGAACTGCCCTGCCACATGCAGACCTCAGAGCCTCTAACAAATCGTGCCCTCTTATTTGAGGAAGGCTGGCAGTGCGCTTTAATTTGAATGAGAGATATTTCCTATTATCCAACAATCCTTTTTACAGAAGCAGAGTAGCTCTGGCAGAAGCCAGACTCCTATGAAGCCTGAAAGCCATCTGAGTTGCAAATAAAATTAATATTTACTTTTGTTCTACAGTAATCATAGAGATACTGAAGCAGAAAAATCATTCAATTTCTTCCTTCATGCCTGCAGCCCAAATCCTTCCTAGCCAATGAGGATCACTGAAAAACCCTTTGTCATGAGAATTTACTTCCTGCTCAGAGATTGCCAGTTCCTCTGCAAAAGCTATGAAGGCAGCATTTGATTTAAAGATATTTCTAGCATTGACAATTTTGCCAACCCATCCTCTGTTCCTGAGAAAATGAAGAAAAATCAACTCGACATCTACCAGCCTCCCCTTCTCATCAGTTTGAGAAAAGGCACCAGTTTGACAACACTCCATGACAGCTCAGCTGAAGAACACCTGTTATCAGTGGTTAAGACTGAGCATCTGCTAATGATCCAGCAGTTAGTGTCATCATTAACAGATTTAAGTCATACACATGCAAAGCACAGGGATCCCTGACAGATGCTTTTCTCAGTGTCTGTTAGCCACCAACTTCTTAATACTCTGGATGGTAAAGTGACTTCATTTGTTATTTGCATACATTTTTTTCTGCTACTTCACAGTTGCAATGGTAATCCTAATTAAGAGCTGTACAAGAGATGCATAAATGATATGCAATTGTTATTTACATTTAAAAAGTAATATGGCTACTAAGGGAATTAGTATCTGATTCAGCACAGTGTGAAACCTTCTAAACACATCCAGTTACAGACTGACCCAGATTAAATGCTGGTTCTTTGCTGTTCAAAACAGATCTTCACTTTACTGGGACTGCTAACATGTTTAAAATATGAAAGGAATTTGAAATTCCAAAGCTACAAATCAGCTTGAAAACTCATTTTCCTTTCTTGTAGAGCTGAACATCATCTTTGTTGTCAAGGCATTTATTACCAGAACGCTTTCTCTGAATGAACTTTAACCACCTACTTTTTATGGCCCATCTCAGCTGCTGCATGAATAGGCAACTGCCAGTTATCCTCATTGCAGTAGAGATTTGGATCTGCCCCTTCTGATAGCAGCAGCTCCACACACTTGGCATGGCCCTCCTGCGCAGCAATCAGCAGTGGAGTGGCTCTGTCTTTGGCCTGGCAGTTGATGTCTGCACCTGACAGAAAGACTTCAGGTTACTTGGTGTAAAATAAACAACGAATTAACAAGTAATTGGTTTTCAGGGAGTGACTTTACAACACAAGTCTTTTCCACAGCAGTAAGGAAACGTTCACTAGCTTGCTGCTGACTTTTTAAACAGTCCGTGCATTAGCATTAACTTCCCCAAATGATAACAAAAGTGCTGGAGGAAAGGCAATGGCCAAGACAATTGTTTGATTGCAGTTAATTTTTAAGTTGTTCTCCCCTCGTGTTGGTAGCTCTGTTAGCATGCTTCCTCTGATTAGGTCAAGGCACCCTCAGCTTTAATAGCTAGGCAGTTAATTCTGGCTGTGAGGATACATGCACTTAGATACGTGACAGTTGCAGACTGTGTGGATGAAACCCCTGCTGTCACTTTATCACTAGAGAGAGGACTCTTCATTAGCCTAAACAATGTGCCATCAGCTACTAACACAGTGCTAGTGAAGGTCTTCTGAAGACTAGTGATCCTTCATCACTCCATAGTTGTACTATTTCCTACTATCACTTGATGAAAACTACACCAAGTTACTGAAACAACTTTTAATCAAGAGGATGTTGCATCTATCTGCAACTGATATCGCATTTAAATAATTAAATGTGAATTTATGAAGTGCAAAAGTAGAATTAAAATCGTATCTGATGACAGGCATCTGATGTAAGCTTAAGAACAACAAAGCCCAACAAAAGACTGCTGTTACCATGGGATATAAGTGTTCTTAAGCTCTCCAGCCTTCCATACTGAGCAGCAACAAAGAGTGGTGTAATTCCAAAGTCATCCTTACACTCGATGTCTGCTCTTTTCTCCAGGAGTATTTTCATTATCTCAATATGTTGCTGAAATAAATATTTTTGTTAGTAACAAAGAAAAACTGATGGGGAAATGACATCATCTGTGTTCCCCCCCCACTCTAAACAGAAATAAGAAAAATGCAATCTACTCGCTATTCTGAAGATATGTCAGAAAAAGTTTTGGAAAAAATCTGAATTTATTTTTTTCACATTTGCTCACTTGCAAATGGAAATTAATTTATTGGAAACATTAAAGTAATATATTTCTATCCTGGAAACAACTCTTGTATCTCACCGATGAGGAGATACTCAACAGAACTTTGTCAGGAAATATTACAACACATTCACTTCCCACATACAGTAAGTGAGCCAGGGAGTGCATGCAGTATTAATAATACTTCAATTAATGCTTCCCAACATCAACATGTCATGAGTCCACTGCAAGCCCTTTAGTATTTCTGGCTGTTAAGGTAGGTTAGGAAAACACCACCTGATCAAAAGACCAGAGCTATGAATTACTGCACAGAATACACCAGTTACATGCCAATGCTATGATGTGCTTACAGGTTACCTGAAATGCAGCTTGGTGCAAAGAATTCCACCCAGACCAGGAATGAGATCCTTCAACGCTTGCTCCATTTTGGATCAGAAACCTTACAACATCTGCATGCCCATTTTCAACAGCTTCAAATCAAACAGTAAAACAAAAAATTCAACAACCTCTTATTAAAGAACTCACTGAAAAACTCAGGCGGTCTCATCACTAAGTTCCTGACACAACTTTCCTGATTATTTTATACCCGTTTATATTTGCTTACTTCACTTTTACATTTACAATGCGGGAACAGAGATGGGAAATGGAAATCGAGTCACAAAATTTCTAGTTGGACACATTAGAAACCCACTGCCATTGTGCTGAGACTGACTACAAAAGCAGGTTTCTCTCCAGTGAAGCAGAGGCAACTCTGCAGTAGGCACCTAACTACGTGACAGCCTCTACAGCAGCCTCAACTTAAGAAGCCCATTGCCTACATTCCAACAGATTGCCCAAAACTTAAGCTTTCTTTAAAAAAGTTTAAAATTTTTAACACCATCGATATGAAACTCATTCACAAGGCGTATTTTTAATTTACATTAATTAATTAATGAATCCTACTATTTAGTTTTTCAATATTGCTTTAAGGCACAATCTGTAGCAGAACTTTCTTTAAATCAGTGGTGTCTGGATCTACTCCACCTCTGAGCCCCAAGACTATTTAGGCTACAAAAGCATGGAATATGACAAGCAGAGCATTAACTCTGGAGGATAGCACAGCTTCTCCCACATAGCAGTCACTCTGAGACTTCAGAAAAGCATCACCTAGGAAGAGGGCGGTGTTTGATTCGGTGGTAACTTGGTCAGGATCAACTCCAGCTTCCAGAAGAACCCCAACACACTCCAAGGATCCACAGCGTGCAGAAAGGTGCAGTGCGCTCATCCCTTCAAACGTCTTTGAATGTATGTAGTCATCAGATGGAGCTACAGATGAGAACAACGAAAAAGAAGTATTTAGCAATAAGTTAAAAGCACAGTTCTTAACTTAAAATATTCGAGGTACTGAAACGCAAGGCCTGCAGCCTATCAGTTATCGCTGGCCATGTACAGGTACTTGCTTTGGACTGAGAAGATAAAGTAAAACCAGCTGTCATTCACAGACAGTAACACTGCCATTTTTTTCTTTACCACATCTTGTCAATATCTATGAAACAAACTTACAAAGGAACATGATAAACGTATTTAATTTATATTTTACATCACTGGGGAGTTGAGCTGCAAGTTGAACGATTTCACACCATTTCTCCTCACCTGCATTCATTAGCAGTCTCAGACATTTGCTGGAATTGTGAGCTGCTGCCTCATGGATTGGCATCCAGCCCCTGTTGTCGGGGACATCAAGGCTGTATCCCTGCCCGATCAGCTTCTGCAGCACTTTAGCATTCCCTTCTCTTGCTGCAAGTCCCACAGCAGAACACCGGTCGGAATACGCCTCTGTGAAATCCATCCTTTACTAATAAGCCCTGCAGTGGGAAGGTGGGAGAAGAAATAAAGGAGAAAAAAAGCTTGTTAGTACAAAACACACTGAAATTACTACAGTACAGGGCCAGAAGCACCAACTGTCCAGGCTCCTTGTGACTGACAGCCTGGCCGTGAGCCAGCAGCGTGCCTTGATGCCAGGAAGGCCAATGGGGTGCATGACAGAGCGAGGCCAGCAGGGCGAGGAGGTGATCCTTCCCCTCTGCTCTGCTCTGGTGAGACCAACTGTCCAGCGGGTGGGGGCAGATCTTTGCAGCGCTGTGCAGGACAGGACAAGGAGCAATGGGCACAGCCTGGGGCACAGCAAGTCGCACACAGGCACAGCAGGGATACTCACCTCCCACGGCACGGCACCCCTCGCCGTCCCCGCGCGCTGCGGTACCGCCCCGCAGCCGGGCGGTGCGGGAGGAGGAGGCACGGAGGAGCCGCCCCGCCCCGCCCGCAGTGCGCATGCCCGCCCCGCCCCGTCCCGCCCGCAGTCGGGGCAGCGCGGCGGGTTGCGGCCATGTGGGTGTTCGGCTACGGCTCCCTCATCTGGAAGGTGGACTTCCCCTACCAGGAGAAGATGGTGGGGCGCATCCGCGGCTACAGCCGGCGGTTCTGGCAGGGCAGCACCGACCACCGCGGCGTGCCGGGCAAGGTGAGGGGTCGGCCGGGTTGTGTCAGCTCCGCAGCCGCGCTCAGAAGGGCCGGATGTGCCCGGGGCAGCTCCTCGCCGCGCCGCACAGTAACGTGGCGGCGGCCGCCGATCCGCAGCCCGTGCCGGCGGGCCGCCTGCCTTCCGCGCCCGCTCGGCGCTCTGTCGGGGCGGGTCTGCCCATAGAGCCGCGTCCCGCCAAGTGACGGCCGAAACGCCGCTCTGGGGCGGCCCTGAGGGCACCGGCTGCGCTCTGCACCCGGGACTTGTCTGCTGGTAGCTTGGCAGGGCACCTGATGCTCCATCCTGCCGCTGTGAGGCACCGAGGACGAATACCTCCGGTGTCGTTCGCTGCGGCGAGATGCGCTTTGGAATGCTCGGAGTTTTAATTCTCTCCTTCGTTCTGGTACTGCTTGGTGTGGTTAAGACACTGGAACGGGAATAACATCGCGTTGCTGCGGCCCTCCCCATACAGGGCTAAAGAGCTCAGCAGGCACTAAAGGGACAATAGGTGACAGAAGCGCCCAGCAGGTTAGATGAATGCCTTTGATGTGGCAGGACTGCGTTATTTACAGCTGCAGATGCTGCTCACGGTTGAGTCATCAGAAATACGATCACGTCATAAATGTGTAGGATCCGATACTTGGTACTTGCTAACAACTCACTGGCACTCGGTGCTGCTTTAAGTCGGGTGGAACGGCTTTTCCCCAAACCTGCGCCCTGCTGACACTGCTCTGAAGCCGGGCTGGAGTTAGTGAGGGCACCCCTAGCAAAAGCAGAAGGATTCTTTGCTACACGTAGCTCGGAAGGAATTTCAAATAGTCCTAACTGATTCCTACCTCTGGCAGAAGGTGACTTCTGCAGTACTTTTAGGTACAAGCACACTGAGTGTTTCCCTGCTGCTCTCTGAGCTGGGAGGACACGGCACGTGCTGTAATGCTGGCTGTACAGCTGAGTGCCTTCTTAGCAGGAGCCACCGGCCATCCTTTTCCAAACTCTGCTCATGTGCATTGCAAAAATTCTGTTCCTCTCTTGCATCTCACCAGATCAAAGAAACCAAACCAAAAGTATTGCAGAGTTGTTCAGGTGAGGCCTAAGAGCATCATCTGCAAGCCTTCAGTAATTAGGATGCTGGGCTTAAAAACAAGATTTAAAAAAATCAATAGAGAAAGTCCCTTTCTTTGGACTTCAGAAAGTCATAAATCCCTCACAGGCCAGTGTTCCTCTCTTTCTGTACTGCATTACCTTCTGTTGGGCTAACTGAAATTCAGGGCAATAGCCAGATTGTGTCTGTGTGGATTCTGGAAGTCTTGCAGAATGGCTGTGCCAACTCACTACCAGCCAGTGCATCCTTGTTCCAGTTAGCTCCACTGTTTGCATTTGTGCCCCCAGTGCAGGTCATGCCCAGAACCATCATCCGCAGCCACAAACAGCCTTAAAACAAAAGCCCTACATGGGCTCATGCACTGCTCTGTTTCTATTTAGGAATAGTCTGTTATTATTTATGCTTATTGATTAATGCATTTTGGTTTTGTTGATGGAAATGCTTAGCGTTAACAGAACACACTTCCTCAGCACCAACACGTTAATGCCTTCTGGAATTACTCAGTCCATGAGTTGCTGCTAATTCCAACGCAAAGGGCTCCCTCACTGTGTGCTGAGGAAATGCACCACAATTACCAAGGCCTGATGATCTCTGCTATAAGCCATTAAAACCTCTAACATCAGGAGCAATGTCTCTTGTGGGTGAGCTATTAGAGAAATTGGTCCTTCAGTACTAAAGCATTTTAAAGAAGAGCAGTGAAATACTAGCCAGCAAGTTAAAAATGCCCTCCTGAAATCACAGGTTGCTCCAACATTCCATGGTCAGCACAGCAACAACATACAGAGCACTTTGACATACAATGGCTGCAAGCTTTTAGTGCAGAACTCAGTTGGCCCTGTACTCATACACTGAACTGCTCGGCTGATAACCAGTTAACCATCTTCTTATAGCACAAAGTGATGTTTTCATCATCTTGTGGTTGGCTCAGAAAGACCTGAATAACAGTAAGCACTTCATAAATGGCAAATTCAAATGTCCTAGTCCAAACTTCAGAAAAAATGGCAACAAAAACACAGTTCTACACAATTCACACTAAACTCCTCAGACTAAAACCTAGGGGATCAATAAACATCTATTTAATAGAACATAACCAAAGCATATCTTGGTACTTTCCCTCCTAAAAGTACATTTCCGACCTTCCTAAACCTCTTCTAGTAAGGCTGGCTTTCTTACTTAGCAATGGTTTGGTCATCCATTGACTTCCCACTGTTTCCAAATCCTTCTTGAAGCATGATAGTCACTTTCTCTATTCAACTGCAAAGGAGGAAATACATTAAAAACATCAACATTTTCTTCTTCCAGTAACTAAGCAGATAGCTTGGGCTACCATAATAATCCAGCTCTTTCTGCAAAATAACCAAGTTTCCACTCTCACAGACTGTATTTTTAGCCTCCATGTGTTTGAGAGAATCTCTTCCAACAACACCAGACTAACCTGCTGTTCCTCAGGCTACCTTAAAAATGCTGAATTCTTAGCAATGCAGTTCTCTAAGATAGGTTGCAAGGCTCACTTATTAAGAGCTCCTCAACAAAATTAAAATTCAGGGCATAATCTCACCCAGATGCATTAATTTGAACAGTTTTAACTTTTGGCAGCTCTCTGAAGAGCCCCAGACGTGCACAGTGTGTCTGCATTTGCATCTAGGCCTGCTCTGTACAAGAACAAGGAGCTGTGTCTCAGTGCAGCGCCAAGTTAGGACTGCCAGTTTGGTTCTGCCCACTGCCCTGTGTTCTTCATTCTTCTGCAAGCCACAGGAACAGCACTGAAGTGCAAACACATTCAAGGGCTGAAGCATGAAACCACTGTTACTACAGCACAGTTTGACCAAACTAAGAGCTTGCAGCAGCAGCCAGAAGGGCGGTTGGATGGCTTTTCTTTACAGGCCCCTTCTCCCAGCTCCTGCCCACCTGCTGTAGCTGCCCAGTGCCCACAGTCAGGCAGTGTCAGTGTTGGAGACTCTGTACCTAACCTTTGGATGGGCTTGGGAAAACAAAACCCTAAGGAAATGTGATGACATGATTGATGCAGCTCCAACTGCCTGCTGCCCACTGTTAACCCCAAGGGACTCCTATGTGTTCTCTCTGATGTGGGGTTACCAAGTTTATAAAAAATGAGTGATTCAGCTTAAGATGAATTCATTTTAAGATGAAGGGCTTTTACTTGTTAACCATGAAGTGGAGAAAAAAGGTAATCAAACTAAAACCTTTTCTAAGGTAATGTTTCCTTTTTATCCCATCCTATTTTGGTCCTCACATGCCAAAATGAATCCATTCTTCTAACAGTAAACATTCGGTATCTTCAGGATCTGAGCACTTTCATGTAGCATTCAAAATAATCTCGTGTAGCAGTGGAAGACCTTACTTCTGTTTGCCTTTTTAATTTCATAGGACACATCGGCTAGACCTGAGGAACTGCAAGCTGTGCAGAACTGACAGAAGTCCCTCCCAGACCCCTGACTTAGGAGATCATTCAAGTTCATAGTAGAGCAGAAATCGTTTTCATTTATATTGTATAGCTCGTCATTTCCAGCTGTGTTATTTTCTTTACTTAGCTTGCAGAGGTAATACTTGTGGTTCCACAATGCTGTTTGGTTTACGTAGTTCCCCACAAACCAGTCAATGTAACGAGTAAGCAGCTCGTTAAGCCTAAAATACTTAGCAAAATATTTGATCATTGCAAGTTTCCATCTGTGAGAGACAGCCTGGCAGGACTTTGCTGTTATTGCCCAGATGAGATCTGTTCAGATATACTGTACAGACAGACAGTGGTATATTTAGCCTAACTCAAGGTGAACCCTTTAGCACTATTATTAGTGCAGCGTGTTAACTAGCTTCTCTTGAGGTTAAAGCTGAATGACAGCAAAACAGCCCCAGGTGATTTATTGATTGAGACTGTTCTCAAATGGCCTGGGTGAACAGGTAGCTGTGCCAACTTTTCCCCCAAAATAAACAGCCATTAAGATGCTGAAACAGCTAATGCTGAATAAATAGTGCCTACAGTTGATGGAAGATGGCTCTGCAAAAACTAAATTTTGTATTTTCCTTCTTAGGAAAAGAATTTCTGTTCTTCTGAGGACTCGGTGTAGGAGAATACCAGCATTGTTACTGTGTGAAAGAGACAGAGTACAGACTGAGCAAAGAGAACTAAGTGCAGACACGTCAATGAAGTTATGATAGAGGAGTTGTAAAAAGACTGAAATGATAGAGTGCCCAAGGGCCAAAGTTAGCTGTGACTCAATGAAAGGCCTGCACCCACACACACCGAGTTCTGATCCTCTGCCTAACGCCCAAGGAAACAAACTTCTATGCTAGACTACAACTGAATGAACCAGTATCTGCTTTCCCTTACGTAACCAGACACTAATCTGATGCTAAAAACAGCAATTCTACACTACTGATGTAGTTCCTCGTAGGGTTTTACGCTTTAAGTTGTTATTTTAAACTTTACTGAGGAGTTGGTCTCTGTGATCCTTGTGGGTCCCTTCCAGCTTGGGATATTCTGCAATTCCACAGGTTACACATAAAAACTCAGCTAGCTGTAACTTTCCAAAAACATCTGATTTGCAGGGTGCTTTTAAACTCAGGAGTTGCCATAGTGCACAGTTAACATTTTCTAAGATTGTTAGTGCAATCCAAGGCAGCAGTGGTAGCATCTCGCTTCGTTTAGCCAGGCTAGATTTCCACGTGACATCATTTGCTGTGCCTGGTAAAAACCTCCTGTAGTGAAGGTTCACCTCCTCGCTGCTCCAGAGAAAACACGGCGTGCTCCTGGTGAGGAGCAGCATGACACAGGATGGGATACTGCAGATAATCCTGCACTAATGAATTACTGCCACCAGTCATTTACAGTAAAAGCTGCTGACTGAACTAACAAGGATTTTCATTTAATTTTAGCCTGGAAGAGTTGTGACTCTGGTTGAAGACCCTGAGGTACAGTACTCCTGTTCTGTCTCTATAGTATAGAGACTGTCCTATTGTGTTCCCAGCCCGTGTAGTAAGTCTCTATTAATTTTTGCTTCTCTACAAGCCAATAATTGAGTTATCTTTACTGAAATGAAGCGTTTTCTCAAAATGACTTGAGAGTTACACCAACAACTCTTCATTACTGCAAATAAATCCATCAGTCTGAACTGAGCAACTGAAAATAGTTTTGTTCTATTACTAAAGGTGTACTGTAAAGTATTTTCCTAAGCAGTCACTTCAGCTCTCCTGCTGTGCAGTGCAGGTTTGTTTGCTTTCAGTGTATGCATGGTGCTGAAGATGCACTGGTATCAGACATCAGATGGTGTGTGAGAGCCATCATCTCAGCCTCCCAAGATAAAAACTGAAACAAATTAAGCTTACGTCACAGTGATTAAAAAGATTCACTTGCTTTAATTTTTGCTACATGGATAAAATGTTTAAGGAATGCTACAACTGTGTGTTTAGTTTTTACCTAGTACTGTAAAATCAGCTCAGAGATAGAGGTAAGTTTAGCAGTAATTGTAAACTTTGTTTCTGCAGTTAGCAAAACCAGCAAAATGCAGTGCACTGTCCCTCATTGTGATTTTCTGTACCTTTCTAGTAAGGGTTTTTTTCACATTACAGCACTGCTGGGTACCATTATGTTACAGACTCCTATATAAACAAAGAATGGTTATGTTTGTTGTCACTCCATTTCTATTGTTAAGCAAACTTACTCGTTGTCATAGAAACTTTTTTCCCCTTAGCAAACCAGTTTTGTTTGGATGGGTTTTTTTCCCCTTTTCTCCAGAATCTGGCACAGCTCACACAAACATCAAGTGATATGAATGGCCTGTACTTCACTCGTAGCTACTCATGCTTACAGTTTCACATGGCCATCTCACTCCTGAGTCTCCCTTCACAGACTACAGTCATTATTCCACTGCACACACACTCAAACGTTGGTGGCAGTGGTGCTTTCATTGGCAGTGCCAGCCCCCAGCTCCACGCCAGCTGTGTGGCCTGCAGCAGTTGCACTGTGCTGTCTGGAAACATCTAGCTCACAGTTATTTCAATGTGCTCCATTCAAATCTCTGTGCCAGTTAAAAGGAAACCAAGATGAAAAGGAACACTGTACTCCTTGTCAGATTTCTGGCTTTTAATTTCCCATTGTCTGAAATAGGATTTGCCTCCACTGAGAGCAAAATGAATGAAGTAGTGATGCTTGTATGCACACATGAATGTAATGGATAACAAACCACAAACATTTTCCTGTGCTGCATCAAGCAGACAAAACTGAAACAGACAGCAAACTCAGATCTCACTCATTTACCCATCTAAAACTTTCCAGGAATATAACTCACCACAGTTAATGTTCTCAGAGATTTTACTCACAAAGAAGAAGAAATATAGAGACTTACAGAGGTGGTGATGAAATTTGTCCCAGCAGTGTTTGCTGTGGAACTAGCTATGCTACACCTCATTGTGCAAACTCAAGGTTCAGCTCAGCTTTTTTTTCTTGGGCTCAGTGTCAGCGTGGCAGCATTACTGCTCTCATACTGCCAGGCCTGTGACAGAAGGGACAGCCTACCCTTAAAAGTGAAACACAGACAGGACTTGATCAAAATGCTTGGAATTTGGCCCTGTTCACAGTTCTGATTTTCACTGCACTATTTCTGTGAGGTCGGGAAGATACTTGATTTCCTTTCTGTCAGCTCTCTACTAGACAGCGTTCAGAAGCTCATGAAGGCTGTCTGTTATTTCAGATTTAGTTGCAACAAGAAATTGTTTAAGAAAAGCCTCAGCATCAGGAAGAACAGCCCTCTTGACTCCAAGAACAGTGTGAGAAATAGCTATAAAAAGACTGAAAATAGAAGAAAAACATTTGAAGCGTTTTGTCAAAGTAAAACAGAAATGTGCTCATTTCCGAGTACGCTTTTAAACCCTGCTTGGGTTTTCTTTTTGTGTCCTCCCACAGGGCTGCGTGTGGGGCGTTGCTTACAGACTGCCAGCTGGACAAGAATGCGAAGTCAAGGCGTACCTGGACTTCAGAGAGAAGGGAGGCTACAGGACGACGGCGGTGGTTTTCTACCCCAAGGACTCGTCAGTCAGACCCTTTGATGTGCTGCTCTACATCGGCACTCGCGATAACCCCAACTACCTCGGCCCTGCGCCTCTGCAGGAGATTGCTGAGCAGATCATTGGCGCCGTCGGCCCCAGCGGCAGGAACACGGAATACCTGTTTGAACTCGCTAATTCCATGAGAAACCTCGTGCCAGAAGATGTAGACGAGCATCTCTTCTCCTTAGAGAAACTAGTAAAGGAACTCCTGGAAAAAGAGCAAAACCTAAACTGCCTATAGAAGAACTTCTTTCGGCGGTATTGCTTCATCTTCAGAGGAATGGTTTCGTTGCACAGTGGGTATATGACTTGGAGGCGTATTGCTCTGTACTATGCTATCTTATTTATTGAATATTGCATTCAAAAGAGTAGTTAGTCATTAAAACGTACTGTTTTAAAAAACATTCTTTTGGGAATCTATAGAAAGGGCAGCAGGGGAAGCGTTTTAGGTTTGAATTTGGTATATTGGTATTTTAGCCAAGGATTACATCTTTCTTTACAAAAATCACCAGGGAACCACTTAAGCCTCTCTGTTACTTCAGGTTTAAAAAAAAACCTTCACAATATTTTTTCCGACCAAAATCTGCGTTCACTTACAACTCCCGAGGCATTGAAGTGATGGTTCTTCCCAATTCAAGACCACCGGCGTGGAGCTCAGCGCAGCAGAAGAGAGAGATGTGAAGTACTTGTTGTAAATCGCAGAGTGAATGTGTGGTAGAACACTTCCACCAGTGTTCAGCTTCACGGAAATTAAGCTATTCCACTGCATCAGTGACCTCATCCCATAGATCCTAGCTTGTCCTTAGGCACAGAGGATAAAGTGGTAGGAAAATAGTCTTTGCCCTTGGCTCATTATGTCGTGCCCCTGAGAAGCGCAGCACGGGGTACTCTGACATCAACAAGCCATACTGTATCAGTGCCTTATTTTTGTTTTTCAAGGTTAATATCAAGAGTAGGTCTAAATTATTGAAACCAGCTAAGAGTATGACTTGAGCCACAGTGCCAGAACGTTCAGAAACTCAGCTCTGATAACTGCCTTTAGATGCTGGTGCAATTGCACGTCTTAAAAATTCACCAGTCTCTGAGGATACAGTTTAAGTCAGCAATTTTCAAGCAGCGTTTCAGGGATTTGAAACAAAGGGCCATTAAGAAAGGAACCCCCTTTTCAGCCAACAGACAGGCGTTGTATGGGCTGCCAGTCAGCCAAGGTTGGAAAGCCCCCAGCTGAGGCCAGTAGCCTTACTTTATGCAAAACAGAGGTAAATGGAGCTTCCGTCCCCACGACGACTTGTCTCGCTTCTCAAAATCTTACTTTTGTGAGTTTTATCAAAACGTATTTTTGTGTGTTAACAAAATAGCACGTAGCATCAGGTCTTGTCATACAGGGAATGTGTATGTTTAGCAGTAGTTGAGAAGTCTATTTATTTTGCATCGGTACTTGTAAAAAACATCTGTTTCTACCATACAAGTTGTGCATTTCCTTTCTTTGCATTGTCCTGTTTTATGTTAGTAATTTCTCAAAAATGCTTAGGTTATAAGAACAACAAGCTGCTGTTATTTCTCTTGGCCACCTACAAAAGTCAAAAATAGCATTTGGAAAAGGCACCTGGACAAGCAGACTGTAGGATATTACATTTCAAACCCAAATTCCAGATAACTAGACCATGCGAGATATGTGGCCGAGAAAGCTGTATGTTTTAAGTACCAGGTTACAAATTCAGCATGCTTCTGGCATCTCTCACGCATACACTCATTGGGGAAAAAAGCAGATTGCTTTTTAGAATCTGCTGTTTAATGGTTGAATGCTGCCATTTTAAAAGGACACAGCAGGGTCTCACTTGATGGACGAAACTAACTTCTAACCTGCAGAAGCAAACCTTCTGATCATATCAGTGTTAGAATCCTACCTAGCGAGGCCCCATTCTTCCTTGAGTTACTTGCAAACTGCTCTGGGGGTCTTGATTCTCCACTGCACTGTGCTGGCTTAGGATTGATACAACTGAGTGGAAAAGCAACCCTGACTAATGCACCTGTAGGGCAGGACAGAAGGGTGCTCAGGACATCCAGGTGTCTGTCCATAATGGCAGTCATTCAGATGCCTGACAACGTAATGATACCAAGGTCTGAGTGGCTTTGCACACCAAAGACTGACAGTGACAGCCAACACCCACATCAGCACCGATGAACACATGCATTTATTCCCTCTGACTTAAAGAACAAGTCTGAAGTGTTAGGGGATACTCAGCTGCTACTAGAAATGTTAGGTATGATTTATTTCACCAATACGTAAGCGTTCCTCCTTCAGCAAAACAAAACCCCCTTCTTTTCTTGTGCTTGCCTCGGATACAGACAAGCTGTAGTAAAGTTAAAACACGTGGAATGGCATGTCCACTTGATGCATTTTGTAATTCTTTCCTCCAAAGCTTATCTGTGTTCCTCAAAACAGGGCAAGGGATGCAACACGCTCGCTAAGGACCTAAAAACAACGGTGATGATTCTCTCTTTGAAACTATCTTTAAGTACTGTGTTGGGGCATTGTGCTTATGTATGGCTCTGCACTTTGTATCTTTAATTATATTCAGGACGTTGTTGGTTCATTTGCTTTCCAGATTCATAAAATTTGCAATAATATCTGTAATGATACATTCCAGTTTGTGCATACAACTTCAATACAATAAAATGCATCACCTTTATTAATGGTGTTGGAGATAGAAATTTCCAGTAATGTTATATTTAAGAGGTATCCAGTAATGGGATGGACACCACTGTGTATCTTAATAGCATCTGGTTACAAAATGCTGTTAGATATTATGATGAAAAATGATGTGCACGAGCTAGCTACCACTATGCAGTAATAAATGATGCCAACATGAGCAATTAATTAAAGCATTGGAAGCACATCCAAGCCACCCTGCCGACAGCTTCAGTCACCAGCAGAATCCTGGTATGCTTTCAGATCTGTTACCCACCACGAAATTAATACATGCTTTCTGTATGCCACACGCTTACTTTTCTTCCCTCCTTGATAGAATCAAATCTAAATTAGTGGCAAAAGGATACGAGATGTCTGTTAGGGCTCAATATACAACCGCCCATGCAATAAGCCATCTCTAAACTGTTTCTGACAGTCCAGACGTTTCAGCTGAATGCCAGGCTGCTGGTGTGCAGGGGGATGCTGGCTGTCCACACAAGCAGGCAGCAGCACAGCAAACCACCAGCATGGCACTGTATCCTGAATTTCTGCTGTGCAAGGATATGATTTGTGTAAGGTCAGAGAGAGACTGTTCCTCAAGTATTTAGGCTTCTCTAGCAGTCTTCTGCAGAAGCTTGACTTCACCCATACCCTCATTTCAATTGCCAGCTACAGCAGCTCTTACTATTCCAGCTTCATTCCTTCAGTATTCTTATACTACAATTATTTCCTTGCTCCTCTGTCTTTTTCTTCAGGTAACTTTCCTTCACTTCTTCCTCTCCTTTATCTCACCTGTCTCGCCCGCATCCTTCTGGTCTTTTACAGCCTATGCCTTCCCTCCTGGCACTGTGCTTACATTGTACATGCATTTTAACTGGATTAATTAATTCCCAGCCAAACTTTAGCACATGGTTAACAGGAAAAAAAATTACACTTCAATATGTGCTTAAATAGAATACAATAGCACAGTTCAAAGGTATTTGCTAGACCTGTGACCGCTGTTTAGTACAGACTTAGCCATCTCACCTACATTATTTCCATCTAGAAATTGCTCTTCTTATCAGGGCAAAAGTTAACCAAGGGCATACAAACCATTTCTTTGAATAGTTTGGGTTAACTCAGCTCACTTTACCAGTGTACACACAGACCTACATCCATCCATCATGCTGTCGGCAAGTACGATAAGAATGGCCTGGAACAAACCACCACAAACCAACCCACACAGCAGCCAGAGCTTCCTTTTTGCATCACCCCCTTCCTTGTCTTTACACTCCTCACACCTACGTGAGCCGCCTGTCAGGTCCATCCTCTCATTAAACATTTAAGAATTTATTAACAATTACTGTATGCTACCAAAACATTCCCATCATCCCCCCATTATGTCCCTTCCCCAGCTGCAAGGCAGATGGTACAGTGCCCCACATTTCTCCTTCCTCCAGCATCTCCCATTTTGGCTCAACCGTTTTTCAACACTTGAGTCTTAACTGGAGATAAAAGCAAGCACTTGCCTCATATTTGCCTGAGCATTAAATAGGGTTATTTCTTTGATCTCCCAAGCCTATCCTGTGAAATAGAAGCCTTGTTGGAGCTACTTGGGGGACAAAAACAAGGATTCTGTGACACAACCCAGCCAGCAGTTACACCGGTGCTCCCATGGCTCATTTTACTGATGGGAACAATGCAGGGCAACCAGCAGTTATGGCACTAACAAAAAGTGCACACTAACAAAAAGTGCACACTAACAAAAAGTGCATACTGCCCTGTGCAGAAGATTCGTTGTGCTGTACCTGAAGCTTTAAGCCTTCTAGTATAAGGATCAACGCTTCAGTAGATTTCTGCAGTAGCAGATATTTGGGTGGAACTATCAGGTAACCGTTGGGTTCCAAGGATAGAACACCTCCCTGTGAGGACAGGCTGAGAGAGCTGGGCTGTGCAGCATGGAGAAGGGAAGGCTGTGGGAGACCTGAGAGCGACCTTCAGTATCTGAAGGGGCTGTAAGAAGGAAGGGGACAGAGTCTTTAGAGGGATTTGCATGATAGGACAAGGGGAAATGGTTTATAAAAGAGGGGAGATTTAGACTGAATATAAGGAAGTTTTTGACAATAGGGCACTCGCACAGGTTGCCCAGAGTGGTGGTGAGTGCTCCATCCTTGGAGACACTCAAGATTAGGCTGGATGAGGCTCTGAGCAGTGATGGAGCTGTGGCTGTCCCTGTTCAGTGCAGGGGAGTTGGACTAGATGGTCTTAAAAAGTTCCTTCCGATTTCAATGATTCTATGATTCTAGTTGAGTAACAGTGAGGTGTAAATAAATGGCAGTGGGTCTTTGCCCACACCAAAACAATGAAGAAGAAATTCTTATAAAAGAAATATATGAATTGCGGCCATTCCACGCTTAATTATAACCCCGTACAAAGTGTCTGCCTTCCAGTTTCCAGGCTTATTCTATGTGTACAGCAACGCTGACTGGTCTGTCACAACACACCAGGATGCTCCCTTCTGGGACCTGGATGAGAGGAGCTGCAGCAGAAGCGGAGATGCTGAGAATCATAGAATCATGAAAGTGGAAAAGACCACTGAGATCGTTCAGTGCAACCCCAGCCCACTGTGCCCAATAGCCACGTCCCTCAGTGCCACATCCCACGGCTCTGGGACTCCTCCAGGTGACCCCAGCGCTCCCTGGGCAGCTGTGTCAGTGCAGAATCACTTCTGGAGAAGGAATTGTTCCTAGCAGCCAACCCGAACCTCCCCTGCACAACGTGAGGCCATCCCCTCTCGTCCTATGGCCATTCCCTGCCAGCAGAGGCCGACCCCGCCTCACACAGCCTCCTTTCAGGTGGTTGCAGATCCATAGGTCTGCCCCGAGCCTCCTCTTCTCCAGACCGAACAGCCCCGGTTCCTCAGCCGCTCCCCATCACACTTGTGCTGCAGACCCCTCACAGCCCTGCTGCCCTTCTCTGGACACGCTGCAGCCCTCGGTGTCTTTCCTGCAGTGAGGGCCCAGCGCTGAGCGCAGCACCGGAGGTGCGGCCTCACCAGCGGCAGTGCGGAGGGCCGCTCACCTCCCGCCGCCGACGCGCCGTGACACACGCAGCACTCACCTCAGGGCCGGCGCGGACATCCAACGCCGCTCCGTCCGCAAGCGCAGCGCAGACCCCGCCCCGCTTCGCGGCCGCCCCGGATGTGGATGCGGACGCGGCTGCGGCTCCGCCCCGCTCGGAAGCCGACGTGTCCCGGTACCTGCCGCGGGGCCGCGGGGCGGCATGAGGCGCTGCCGGCCCCGGGCGCTGCTGTGCGGGCTGCTGCTGGCGGCCGCGGTGGCGTCTGGCGGCCGCGCTCTCCCGCAGCTCAGCGACGACGTCCCGTTCCGGGTGAATTGGCCCGGCACCGAGCTGAGCCTGGTGCGTGCGGGCTGCGGGGCGGGAAGGGAAGGCCCGTTGGGAAGGCCCGAGTAACGCGCTGCCTTTTGCAGCCCACGACGGGCGTCCTGTACAGGGAGGACAACTACATCCTGATGACCACGGCGGACAAGGAGCGCTACAAGTGCGTGCTGCCGCTGACGGCGGGCGGCGCCGAGGTGAGCGGCTGTGCGCGGAGCCGGGGCGGGCGGCCGCTGCTCTCGGGTAACGAACCCAAACGGGCGCTCTCGTGTAGGAAGAAGAGAAGGACTACCGGGGCCCGGCGCCGGGAGAGCTGCTGGAGCCGCTGTTTAAGCAGAGCAGCTGTTCGTACAGGGTGAGCTTGGCGCCGGGCCGCGTTCGGGCGCGGTGTGTGGGACGTGCCGGCGGTGCGGCTCGGGATTCCTGCGCCAAAATCAGCTCTCCGTGATGCTGTGGCTTCCTTATCCTGATCTCACTGCTCAGTTCCCCCCTAGAGGCCCGATGTATTCGTACCCCCGTCTCTTCTAACAGCGGTGTGAAGCTGTGGATGTTAAGTGCTTATCTGCAGGACTAAAGCTTTCCCACGCGGTTGCTGTAGGACGGGTGTTGCCGAAGAAGCGCTGAAGGCTCAAACCACACGTGCTCTGTGGCTCTGCCGTTTTCCACTGCTCTGCCATCCCATTGGCAAGGCTCATGTTTTGTGAAAGAAAAGCAGATAGCAAGCAGGCTGTGCTGAGCAGCAGAGCGAGCCAGGTGCGGGTGTTGCACCCACAGAAGGTCCCACAGAGTGCTTGAGGAACAGAGTGGGTCAGGCCCAGCTGGCAAGCAGGATGACACATACAATGCATACAACAGTTGCCTGAGCGGCTCGGTGCTGAATCACCTCGGCTCACCCCAGTGGTTTTGCAGTAAACTTGGTCTTCACACCCGTTGTGGGTTTGTTTTTGTTTTTGCTTTATCTGTGCGAAAGCTGAGGGAGCTTTGTCCCTTTGTTTATCTGGAACCTTGAGAAAATGCTGAGGGAACGCTGAGACTGCTCACTGCTGTTATTTTTGAGGGTGCTTTCATCCACTAGTTTGGCCTGCATTTCATTGCTGCGAAAGCCAAGAACGTGAGGGGAGATGTTAGTTTTTAGGAGTAGCGTGTCTAGACAGAATGTCACTTCTTTTGCTTTTCATTTTAAGATTGAATCTTACTGGACTTATGAGGTCTGCCATGGAAAACACATCCGCCAGTATCACGAGGAAAAAGAAACGGGGCAGGTGAGTTTCCTGCCATCTGGAGCTCCCAGCCTCCCTCTCACTGCTGGCAGCATGCAGAGCTCCTTTGAAAAAGTGTGGAAAATGATAACGTTTTTAAGCTTCTTTTGCTTGTAGAAAATAAACATCCAAGAATACTATCTCGGGAGTATGATGATGAAGACCCCATTATCTGAACCAGGTTTGTCTTAGGTTATTTTACTAATGCTCACGAGTTCTTTTGTTTTTAATCGCTATTATCTGAGAAAAACACTGCAGAAAAACTGACTCCCAGTGCAAAAAATAAAATAGTACAGTTCTGCAGATGGCTGTCTTTTTGAAAATGTGTTGTTTTCAGTGAGTTCCTTTTCAGCACCTTGAAGTTATCCATCCTGTCAGTTTGCCATGCTGTCTAATTAATTACATCCATCGGCAATAGGAAGGGTCGGGAAAGAAAATACATGGTAGAATAGATGGAAGCAATATGTGACAGATGAGTCTGTTTGATGTGTGACCTATTGCCCTTCTTTCTTTTTGGGTGGGAAGATGTCTTAACTGCTGTGAGCAATGGGCAGAGCATGTAGCATGTGTTGGGCTGAGCTGTTCTGTAATAAAACATGGGATGCCAACCCACACACCTGGAGCCTTTGCAGGTAGATATGATCCTTGGAATCGTTGGAGAGTGTTTGTTAGGGTTTCTGCCACAGACTTTCAGAAATAAGGGAGCTGAGCCCTGAAGTCAGATTACAGTCTAAAATAATTTTCTGAGTGCTTGCATTTTTGCCCAGGAATTGTTGTGGATGCCAAAAGTTCTGTGTTCACACCTGGCAATATCTGCTCCCCTTAGATACGGAGTATATTTGTTCAGAGAACTCCAAAAATTGACAAATTAATCATTCAGCAGAGTTGATGGAAACAAGAGGGTTTATTATTTTTAATTCTAGGCTAGCACAGGAAAGGTGAGCACCACCTTTCTTCCTAAAATTAACCTTAGTGCCTTAATTCTGGGGGAGTTCTAGAGCCATTAATCCCACTTCTTCAAATTCCTGAGATCTTCAGTAATGGATCTTAGTCCTGAGAAGAAGCTGTGATGTTTGGCTTTTCTTATTAGTGAGTTAGTGTCTGTGTTGTCATTAATCCTGTGCAGAGGTAACTAATTTTCTTTAGAAGCTGCTCTATGAGATGTCTAAATTGAGTTTAAGAATTATTTTGTGGAGAGGTTGCATGTGATGATGCTACAAGTTGTCATGTCTTCTAACACGTTGACTTTCTATCTTCTCTGCTTGGGTGGCAGATTTTATTCTTTCTATGCTTCCTATGCAGGAATCCACACTACTCTTACACAATAAAACAGATGGTGTCTCAAAGTGTTGTGAGCTGAATCCACAGGTGTGATACATTACTGTACTGACTACTGTTCTGTTCTCAGAACAGCAGAGCAGTGTTGCCTCTTGCTGATCTGTTCTGAATGGAGTCCAGACTTACTCCTGTTTTGTTGTCTTTGCTCTGGATCCCCAATCATTCTTTATTTCCCTTCTTCCTCTTCTGCACCTGCAAGTTGGTACAGTTGTCTGTTGGCAGCTTAATAACAAAGTACAAGTAAATAGACAGAGCGTATAAGCCTTTCTGTGTGAGTTCACTTTATTTTGAGTTCACAGATTTTATGCTCATCTCATTTTTAATTATTCCCTAGATCAAGAAGAGAAGGAAAAGCCAAAAGAAAGCACAAAAGAGGCAAGTGAAAAACATCTATTTTAACTTTTGCCATCATAGTAGAGGCATTCATACGTGATGAGATTGTATAAGTAGTTCCCTTCCAAAATGAGTATAGAAAAATGAAACTTTCTGAGGTATAGAGTGGCTGTGTGACTGGAAGCCAACGAGTGCCTGTGCAATTAAACTCCCAGGTGTTGTTAACTTTCTGTTAGCCAAGCCAGCAGATGGTGTGGGATGCTCTAGGCTGGGTGTGTTGAAGGCTGTAGCACTGAAGCTGGATGGCTTAGCAGCAGGCCCTTGCAGGTTCTTCATGGCCTGGCACTGAGGTGAAGGCAGCACTCAGACCTGAGCTGACTCTGGCAGAGCTGCTCACTGCTCCTTATCTTGAGGCTGCAGGGGGAACGCAGCTGGCTTTGGAGCTTTTCCAAAACATTGCACCCAGCTGGGAAGCTTTCTTAGAACTGCAGCATTGGACAACCAGTGCACAGGAAGCAGCTGCCTTTGCAGTCAGGCTTGTTGTCAGGCCACACATGGTGCAGTGCATCTGTGCAGCACTGAGCTGGAGGCAGTAAGCCAGAATGTGTTTGGATGTTACAGTGAAACCGAGTCACCAAGCAGGGCTTTCAGTCCAGGTTTGCTGACTCTGCACAATGTTACAGTGTTTGCTGTTTCAGAAGAATCAAAGGAGTTTTACTGCAATTCCTAACTCCTGCTTTCTTTCACGCAGATACCCACAAAAAACATAGAAGGGCAGATGACTCCGTACTATCCTGTAGAAATGGGAAATGGCACACCCTGCAGCTTGAGGCAGAACCTCCCCAGATCGAGTACAGTCATGTACATCTGTCATCCAGAAGCTAAACATGAGATTCTTTCAGTAGCAGAAGTTACAACTTGTGAATATGAGGTGGTTATATTGACACCTCTGTTATGCAACCATCCTAAATATAGGTACAGTATTCAGATTGTGGCTAACTCCAAATTTGCATCAGCTGCCATGCATGTGTTTATATCAGCCTTCTATCCACCTGTGCTTTCTGGTATGCAGCTGTGACACTTGTATGTACTTATTTTGGCAAGTACAGCTTTGCTGAGTCTTAAAAGCTTTCATCTTAAGCTGAGTCACACTTGCTTTTTGGAAGTCTGCTGGTTGACTCCATATGAGAAGCAGGTGGAAAGTACTTCATTTTTAACAGGTAAGTTTCTAACCTCGTCATTCTGGAGAAGTACAAACCAGGGCCTGAAGGCTGCAGGCAGATGAAGAATACCCAATCTCTTCTCTTAGCTGATGATTCCAAGCTCTTTGGGGATCATCTGCGTGGTATTCAGATACTGCATGTTGTATGTGTGCCATATACATGTGCATAGACTTCAACTTCTGTATTTAGCTTCAGAAAACAAGAGTATTGTCTTCAGCTAAACCTTAGTAACATTTATTTTACCAGTTCTCTCAGCTTAGGGAGTTCCCACCTGTGCTTGTCTTGGTTTAGTGTCTTTGTTTCTGCTGTGTCACTCATTTTGCACATAAAGAGTTCACAGTTTGTGTTATTTTCCAGTCATCAGTTATTACTTTTTTTTTAACGTGGACAGATGTGTTACTAGTGACACTAATGTGTTACTATCTGATGCTCTTACTGCTGCACCTCTGTTCTCTATCTGTACTGTATGTATCAGCAGAACTGAGTTGTTCTTCCATGTGATAAGAATACTGTCTTCAGCCACTAATCCCTGCCAGATGTGGAAGGATTTCTGGCCACTGGCAAGAAACACTTGAAAGTAAATACGACAGGCTATTTCCCAGTTGTATCATCTTAGTCAGCAAAGATGGATGGAGATAGCAGGCTTGGATTGCTGCTCAGTGTCAGCAGAGCTCACAGCAAACAAACCAACCTTGTTTGAAGGGCACTTTTCCTGCAGTGTTCCCTGAGACTCCTCTGAGCAGTACTTCAGACACGGCAATCATCATCTTACCAGTGATGCAGCTCCAATAACTTAGCAGACAAATACCCATTGGAACTTCTTTGGTTACAATTTCACTTTTTTAATGTTTTTTTTCTTTTTTAACGATGTCTTGCCTTGTGTAAAGCAAGGAGACAGCTGTAACCCTGCTTCATCCTGCTGCTTCTCCTTTCTTGAGATGAGTTGCTTTCTGCATAGCTAGAAAGAATGTTAGAGGAATGATGGCTTATATGCAGGGGAAAAAGACACGCATGCCCTATGCTTTATTTCTGTAGGAACTTACATCACTTGTAACTGTGAGAACATTAAGGCTTTAACCGTGATGATGTAACTGCAGGAAAGGAAATAACTGCCCCAAGCCAGTCAGAAATGTGGAAGAATAGAGAAAAGCGTGTTTTGTCTGTAAAGCATACTAAGTGATACATCCATACCTCCTTCGGACAGGTTTAGGGCTTCCCCTGTGAATGACATCTTTTGCCAATCTCTGCCTGGATCCCCACTTAAACCCCATACTCTGGAACAACTGGAGAAACAGCAAGAAATGATGAAGATGCCTTTTAGAAGAGCTAAAGAGGTAGGTGGTTTGTTTTGTTTTGTTTTGAAAGCTTGATAGTGTTTACTGTTCATGTTACAATACACATGCAGCTCACTGGAACAGGTTGTTTTAATCTATATTAGGAGACCATGTCAGACTTCGGAACAGTCTATAAGTTAGTTGCTTATTTATGTAGCTTGCTTATTGGAAGGAAAACGTATCAGTTAAGTTTGGGCAACTGACTGAGAACTTTTGTAGCCTTGTTAGCCTGCAGTTTGCAGAGTTGCTAAGATCCAGACTTGAAATTCAGCTAGACTTAAGACAGTGAAAGCATTTTGTCACTGCTTTCATGCTTTTTTGCACAGCTTTCCTCATGTAACAAGTAATAAGTAATTTCCCATAGTTGAGATGATTCTGCAGGGGCCATGTATTGCACCAAGGTAGATTCAGGTTGGACGTAGGAACAATTTCTTCTGTGCAGGAGTGGTCAGCTGCTGGTGTGGGCTGCCCAGGGAGCTGGTGGAGTCACTGTCCTGAAGGTGTCCAAGAGCTGCTCAGATGTTGTACTGGGGGATGTGGTTTAGTGGGGGAATATTGGTGGTAGGTGGGTGGTTGGGCTGGATGATCCTGGAGGCCTTTTCCAACCTTGGTGATGCTATGATTCCGTATTAAATCTATGTACTGTATTTGTTTGTACTTTAATTCCAGGAAGAGACACCTTCAACAAAGGAAGAGAAGTTTTCTTCCATTCATAAGCCTGTTGCTATTGGTAGCCATCAACTATTAACTGTAGGAACAACCCTCATCTCCAAACTGACTGACGACCAACTTATAAAGGAATTTCTCAGTGGCTCCTACTGCTTCCATGGGGTAAGAAATAGAAGCTCAATACAGTCAAATAGCTCCTCCTTAATTGTACATACCATTTCATAAATGTGTATAAAATTTTTTTCCCTGTGAAATTAATCCCTCAGTGAGAGGTGAGGGGGCCACACTGTTTCCTCATAACAGAAGAGGGCTGCCCAGAGTGGTGGTGGAGTCACCATCCGTGGTGGTGTTCAAGAAGCATTTAGATGCTGTACTAAGTGGGGAAATACTGGTGGTAGGTGGATGGTTGGACTGGATTGTCTTGAGGTCTTTTCTGATGTTGGTGATTGTATGATTCTGGGATATTTCATTCAGTATTTTTCTGTGCTAAATTCAAGACCTATTTTTGCACAGTTCTTGCCCTGGATCTCTAAATATGCTGTCTTAGCTATGTCCAGCCTAGAGCATCTCAGTGTTGCATTGTGCTGTGGCAAATCCTTCCTTAAAGCCAGCCCTCCTATCTGTTTTCTGTCCTCTCTCCCAACCAAATACTGCAGTTATTTCTGTGTATGCAGTGCTGCTGTGGTGCTAGGTATGGGACTATTCTGTGTTTGAAGAGAAGAGCATATTTGGGGTATACATCTATAGCCTCCATTGGGATATGGAGAGCAGAGAGTTGGAAGTCTTACTGTTCACAAAAGATATTTCCCTGACTTTCAGGTATTTAAGTAGATCCTCATTAAGTGATGCTTGCTTGGCTGTGCTGGGCTAAATGCAGAGTTGAAGAAATGGTACAGTTCTGCTATTATCTAAATAAAACCAGTGCATAACTTACAGAAGCCACATCAAGTTAATGTTATAACAGCACTCTTTTGCACATAATTGCATCAGTAAAGGGAAGGTTTGTATACTAAGTTCTATGCTAGAAAGGTGTCTTCAGTTTTTTCTGTTGAAAACTGACTTAACTGAACAAATGGTGAAATGAGAGTAGATCATGAGAGTTGTGCTGATTTTGTTAATGAGAAAGCCAGAAACGAACAGATAAAACATAAACAGCCACAGAGAAAAGGCATCTGAAGTTGTGCTCTTTGAAAGAGAAAACATTTCTTGAAAAGATGAATAGAGGGGATACAAGTAGTTTAAGGAATTTAGTCCTTTTGCAGCTGTTCTCATGAGTTTTCATAAAACTGAGGTCCTCTTTACTTGAACTCCTCTATTCCAGCTCTTAACTGTGCCAGTCAGTCTAATAAGAGTTTGTTTCAATGCAAATCAGGAATCAACATTTCTGATTAATTGGGAGTTTGGAGTTCTACAGCTAAAATAACCAGTGGTTTTGGGTCAGGAGGGAAATGGGAGTGGCTGTTTGGGGCTTTTGTTTTGGTTTAATGCTGAAATTATACCCCTCCCTAGGGAGTTGGCTGGTGGAAGTATGAATTCTGCTACGGCAAGTACGTTCATCAGTATCATGAGGTATGTGCACGTAGTTCTGTGCTCTGCCGCTAGATGGCTGCGGGTGCGATGGGGAGGCTGGAGGACCCGCGTTTGGCCTGAAAAAAGCAGCATCCTCTTCTTGGCTGATCAGCATTTTGGGTTTAAGAGCGTGGATTTCAGAACGTCAATCCTCAGTGCTGCAGGGTGACGTAGATACCGTGTCAGGTAGAGCACAGTGATAAGGAAAGCTGAAAAGGTGTCTGTCTTGTGGAAATGCTCTTCTGGTCATTGAAATACGTTTATCAGCTTACACGGCCTATATGGCTGTTCTGAAGAGACCGTCAACTTGAGTCTTTACCCTACAACATCATCCTTCATGGCTTGTCCCAAATGCAAGGACGTGGCACGTGGACGGGAGCAGACTCGCTCTAGAAATGACACTCCACTCATGAAGACATCTTCACTGCTAAAATTACAGTACAAGATCACTGTCAGCCTTTCTTTTTTTAGGACAAGGAAAGTGGCAAGACTTCTGTGGTCGTGGGCACCTGGAACAAGGAGGAACACATTGAATGGTCCAGAAAGAATGCTGCTAGAACGTACTATCTTAAAGAAGATGGCACACAGACAGTTAGGTATGGTCACAGTCACTGAGATTACTGCTCTGGTTAAGAGTTCCTGAGTTACTCTCATGTGTGTGGCAGAGAGAAATAAATGCCAACATCCACTTCAGCCACACATGGATATTTACTAATAGATAAGCTGTTACAAGCATGTTGATTTTTTTCCCCCTAATCATCATGCCATGTCAAGAAAGATAATTCAAGACTGGATATGAGGCAGATTCTTCCAATAGTAAACAACTGTTTGCTCCTGTAATACTGAAATACATTATTTTACTTCTTTGTTATACATATTGAAGTTAAATATTTGAAATTATGAGATACCATATTAAACAAATGAGCTCTGTGCATAAAAATTGTGTTTACTGTTTCCAAACTTTTGGGCAGGATGGTGTCTCATTTCTATGGAAATGGAGATGTTTGTGACTTAACTGACAAGCCAAGGCAGGTGACAGTGAAGTTGAAGTAAGTTAACTTTTTTTTTTTTCCTTTTTAGTAAACTGATGCTTTGTGTTTCTGCTTTCTCTTCCAGAAAGGAAAGCAATATCTTTCTGCTTTTCACAAGGCTCAGAAAGCAGTGACTGTTAGCTGGGTTTGATAAAAATGATGCTGATAGTAGGGAAATATATTTTATTTTTGTGCTTCTTAAATGCTAAAAACAGCCACATTTCTTTTTTTTCAGATGCAAAGAGTCTGATTCACCTCATGCTGTAACCATATATATGCTAGAGCCTCATTCTTGCCAGTACATCCTTGGGGTATGTAAACACATTCTTGCCTTTCCAAAGATCAGCTGCCACGTAGTGCAGGATGTCTCAGGGTACATGCTCCACTTCATGGAAAGTGTGAGATCAGTTCTGACTTGATTGACTGCTTTTATTTGTCACAGAGTATGATTTGGTAGCTTTTTCTGCTCAAGTGACAAACTTCACAGCTGCCATCTGAAGCAGGGTTAGCAGTGCAGCCTGCCACTGGCAGGGGAACATAGACACTGTCCAGAAAGACACATCAGGATTTCCAAATGCACTGAAAAATGCTGATGTCATTTCAGTGTTCTTAGCAAATCTGATGAAGGTGCTGCTCCATCTGGTCACCACTGGGCACCTTAAATATGTGAAATGTGCTGCACCTCCTCCCCTCAGGCAACCCCCAACCTCAACCCCCAAGGTTGCCAACCTTGTGATCTCTGTTTCTTGTAAAAGTTATTTCACAGTTATTTCATATTTTCACACTTCAGTTTTGATCTTGTGTGTTCAAGGTGGAATCTCCTGTCATCTGTAAAATTTTGGATACAGCAGATGAATACGGGCTCCTTTCAGTACCCAGCTAAAGAGCAGCACGGTCCATGAAGAAAGCCATACCCATCAGCATCCCAGCTGGCCTTTTCCACATTCACACCGTACCTGTGAGATGAGCGGCCAGTACAGAAGTGTTCAGCCAACCAGCCTCACCAGCAGATTTGCCCGAGATGAGGGACTCGTGAACCACTTTGTGTATAATTATGTGTATATAAGAGGTTATCGATAAACTTTTAACAATTAAAATCTTGTCTTGCATTCCTTGTTTGACTGGTGTGTGAGGCGTTCTGCGATTGTCGTCATCATCGGGTTACAAATGACCACCTTTCAAAAGGCAAAATGGACACGGTCTGGCTTCAAGGGAGGAGTTCAACTGCCAACAGAAGGGAAAAGGGAAACCAGCACTTCTTGCAGAAGCCTTCAGCAGGCATCCCAGCAATAATTAGTTGTTCTAATGCACTTAGTTTGTCCAAACACAAATGTTGCCTCAATTTGACTGATGGGAACCAGTGTTAATATCACAGTCCTTTTGCCACTTAACTTACTTTGTCCCTGTTCAGCTGTCACCGCTGCTTTTTAAGTCCCATTTATTTTGTTGTCTTCGTAGGTATTACTAACTTCATAGATTCATCTTAATGTATTTATTTTGCTGACCATTCCTATTGATGCGTGCCAGAGTTGCTGTTCTGCTTGGGGAGCTAAAGCATAATACTAGATTGCTTTGGAGCAGCTGTCATGCAACATACCCCTAAAGATTTCCTTCCTTGAGAACACTGTAGGGCTGGCAGAAAGTTCCTTTGCTGCTTTTACTGAGTGCCATATCCCTAACTTGTTCTGAGTGACCACAAACCGACCTTGTTCACAATAAACACACCAGATGACTTGTGTGTCCTTTGGTCACAGCCCTGCAGTAAGACTTGGCACGTGCACCATCCTGCTGAGAATCAAGGTTCCAACTGAGAAAGGACTTACTGAGTGCTTTCAGATACTTTCTATTGAGTTCTGCCATAATCAGCTTGGGAGTTGTGCAAGGTGTGTAATGATGCTGAGATGCACAGAAGCCGGACAACACTTCAGTGCATAGCAATTGTGTGTTCTCAGTGTCTGGATTGCCATTAGTTTGTCAGCCTGCTGCAGGTTTCCTCTTTCCTACAGTTGTGCAAAGTGTAGGAGTTTCATAACTGATCTCAAGCGGAAATCTGCTGAGCATCTGGCATGTGGCTGCTCTGGTACTATCCAGAGTATCAAGTAAAGCTGGGACACTGTTGCAATTAGCAACTAAATTTACTCTCTTCACAGCAGAAGAGAACAAAGCAGCAGCACGATGATGGGCCATTTAGATGCAAAGTCATTCTTCCTGTTCACATCCTAATTTTGGATTGCCCGGCCCTGTTATGGCTAGGACAGGGGAAGAGGACTTTACTTAGCTAGATTTTGTAATGTTCCCTAAAGCACGAGGAAAATCATCCTTACATTTTAATCTCGTATTAAGCCAGCTTTTAGAAAACTAGAGGCATAAGAAGCAAAGACCAAACTTTAGATATTTAACTTTGTTTCCTTGAAGTATTTTAACTTGCCTGAACAGCCGGATCCTCTCACTGGGCATCCGGAACAGCCGCTAGCAATCTGGGCCCCCTACTGACCGAAGGCTGTCTTTACACGCGATTCAACGAGTTCGTGTCTGCAAGTGGGCTGTGCGGTGTGCTTAAGAACGTGGTCTCAGAAAGCGCAGATGATAGACAGGGGAAGAAAGGCTGCAGGCTCCAGCAGCATCTTCCCATACTGCCTGCATGGATGCCAAAGGTGGAACTGCAGTGTGAGTAGCTGCAACCAAAACGTCTTTAAACTACTTTGGGTACTCCCAGGTCAACATAACAGTAAGAAAATACAGTGTTTAGCTTTAGCTTCCTCTAATCTGTGTTGATAATGGGCCGGCTGACTCTTACTGAGGCTGCAGCAGCAGGTGGAAGTGTGAGACAGAACTGTGCGACCCCTGATGGCAGTTCTGGATTGAGGCTGCTCCATCTCTATTTACCTGCTTTTAGGAAAGTCAGCATCACTGTGGCTCAGTGCTGTGCAGAACCACTAAGCAGTGAGTGCTCGAGCCCCAGGCTGTATGTGTGGGGGACACTGTCAGACCTCGTCAGCATGTATTGTGTTAGGTCATATTCAAGGGAGGAGAAACCACAACAGACTGAAACCTTTCTGCACACCTGTTTGTTGTGGTAGATTAGATGAGAGGAGAAGATAAAGATAGATACCTGCAGAATTTAAAGAATTCCACTTCCCCTCATAGCAGAGAAGTCCCCAGCACCGTGGGGAAGTGCAGCCTCTGTGACTAAGCAGCCACAGCACCTCAGCATGCCACTGAAACCAATGAAGTTCTGCTGCTATTTATGTGCTGTTGCCAAAACCACATATCCAGTTCTCCACATTCCTCAGCTTCTGCCACCCCTTGCAGGGAAGCAATGTGCTCACATATCCCTGCTCTGCACCCAACACACCTGCAAGCATAACACCACGACATCCAACCCTCAGGCTCTTGCCATTAGCGCTCTGCATTACACAACGAGGGCTTCACTGAACATCAAACACCAAAACGGTACCTGAGGCAACACCAGACTTACAACCATTTATTACTACAGGAAGAAAAAGCTTTGCCAGCAATGAGCAAAGCCCACGGCTGGATAACAAAGATGAAAAGTAAAGCACTAAGCTAAAGCTCAGGTAGCTGAGGCATTTTGCCTCCAAGAGACTAAGAGCCAAATCCATGCTGCACATTGGTCTCACATTCCTCTGTCAGGACATCTCCTCTCCCATGCAGCTCGTTCTGTCCAGCCACCACAGACTACCACTGATTCTCTCTCCAACCAATTATTTATTGTGACAGGAACTGGGTGACAGGCCGGCACCTAAATTAACTGCTTTTGACCTAGGTTGTGCACATCATTTACCTTTGCCAGTAAAGGTCAGCAGAGGGTCCTGACACCATTTGCTCCAAGCCCAGCAGGAGCAGTGCTGCACTACAGGTTTTTCCTGTGCTCACAGAAAATAAATATTTTTTTTTCAAGTCGTGAGAATTTCTTCACCCTGTCCTTAGTGATAGAACTACTGTGTGGTGCAACACCTCCCACACGACAGGGAAAGCCCAGCAGACAGCACAGGTTTCCTTACAAGTCCTTCAGGAAGGACCTGATTCCAACTCACAGAGATGAGGAACACTTTTCTTTTTTACGCTGTCCTGTATCTCCCCTGCTAACAGCTGAGTTGGGAAAGAACCAGTGTGGGAGGAGGAGGAGGAAAGATGTGCACCAAAAACCAAAGAGCACAACAGATCACGAGTTGATACTGCTGGAAGTAATTAATCCTAACATAAGCTTATGTTCTCATACATTTGAATTTGGAAGAAAAGCTCCTTCTTCAATGCTCTACTAAGCAGGCCCTAGGATGTGGAAGCCTCTCAGAACCAAAAAGAGGGAAAAATGAGCTTCCTTGGGTGTGCAGAAAGCATAAAGTGGAACTGGAGCTCTCTGGGTTTAGGGGCTGATCTGCTTAGATTTATGCCTGTGATGGTATGCAGGTTTGCACCTCAGCCTGAAAGGCATTTGATTCCTTCCTCATGTAAGAATCACCAGTGTGGAAAATAACTCAAACAGCAGACAGCAGTAATTGCACCTATGTAATCTGCAATTAGTCAAAGGGAATTACATCAAAGGAAAGTAGATCTGTGAAAGTGAAACATGCCGCTTATTGAAGGTATTTATTTCAATGAGAAGAGCTCAAAGAATGAACTGTTTTATGCCCCAGAATACTAGATCCATCCACACAAAAAAAGATCATCAGCAATAAGCACCTAATGACGTTTCCCTCTCCCCAGCTTATCAGTACAGGAATGCTTCAAACTCACTTATGAGTCAGAAACTGGTGAACTCCTACAAAACCCAACCCATGTAGCACAGAGTCACTCACTTCCTGCTAGGACCTGCTAAAAAGCCATCAGGAAATGGGATTGGAATTTTCTGTAGAAAGTAAGAGTCATATGATGAATGATCTTCCATCTCTACCCAAAGAGTGCTCAAACACAGCAGCCCTGAGCCTTCAGACAATAGGGATTCCTTTTAGAGCTAATTCCTAACTGCCATTCAAACTCACAAGTAATTATCTGCATGACTGAAACAAGAAGCAGAGAGATTATTTATGTAAGACACCAGCACAGCTAGATACAGCTGAAAGGATGCAGTGGCTCAATGTGTGAGGCAAAACAGCCCCTGCAAAGTTTCACCTAGCTCAAGGGTCAAAATAAGACAATCAGGCTTGGAAACAGTTTTCTCAAGTACAGAAACACGGGGTATTATTTTAACATTAACATTACAACACTAATACTTGGATTCCCCAAATCTGCCTCAGTTCTGCCTTCGGCCACACTTGCATTTTGCCTCATCACTCACACAGGGCTTTCTTGTGTGCTGCTGTTCCTCCACAGTCCCCAAAACAGTCCTGTGCTGGAACACAGCCGGTCCATCTTCTCAAAGGAGGGGGCTACAGAGTGAGTTTCAAGAATTGAGTGGCTCCTTTCTGGTCAAGGAAGGAAGGCTCACCAGGGAGACGCAGCTATCTACAGGGGGTCACTGCAGGTTCAATTCTGACGTCCAAAACACTCTTGATTTCCTGTCTCCTGCTAAAGCAGGTAGGGATCTGTTTGGGCAAGGCACGGCTTCAGGGCAATTCCCAGTCTGGCTGGAGAGGAAAGTGCTGCTCTGATTAGAAAGGGGATGCAAACAACCCTGGGGTTTTCCGGTCCCTCAGGTTCAGACAGGGCTATCATAAGAATTTCCAGTCACTGATGGTTACGAAAGACTGGAAACATTAGGTTTTTTTAGAAGAAGCAGCAGAGCAAATGACAGCACTCAGTGCCTTGTGCAATCTGTTGACTCCACCAACATCCTGAACCTGAGCGAGCTGTAAGCAGAGCACATCTTTAAAGGCAGCACTACAGACAAGAAGAAAATCTCCTGTTCTTTTCCCTGCTCAGACAGAAGCGAGGCTTCAGCAGCAGCGTGACCAGCTCTCCCATTTCCAAATGTAAGTCCAATGACACTTGTTTTATCTTCCCCCTCCAGAAAGGCTGAGAACAGTACAGTGGGACATTCATTACAGAGTATTGTCTTGGTTCTCCTTCCTGTCTTTACCATAACTGCAGCACAGCAGCAAAAATCCCAGAGAACACCTTGGGAGCAGGTCGTTGAGAGCGACCTCCA